TTCCTTATTTTCTGCTTTTCTAGTTACTAGAACAAAGGCTGCGAATTTTTCGCTTCTGGTCTATTGAAACTGGCCTCCACTTTTTAGGGCAAGAAATGATTGGAAATCTGCTTAAGATGCAGCAGGCAGTCAGCACAGATGATTTACCATCTGCTTCGGAGATGGCTGCAACAACTCTCGTCAAGCGTGCTTCCGTGGACGAAGGTGACACTAGACCAACGTGGATTCGACAGCTTCAATCCAGTGCAGACGCGTGGAAGTCGTTGCTCCCCGACCGTCTGAGACCCCTCGAAAGGACGGCCGAAAATATTGCTGATCCTCTGTTCCGCTGCTTTGATCGAGAAGTCAGTGCTGGTACTACACTCCTCAACACTGTTCGTGATGACCTCAGTAACGTAATCAAGGTAGACATCTCTATAATAACATCCTTGAAATACTGTACCATTGTTACCGTATAAGTGTGGCAGAATTTGTTTGTAAAGGTACTTTCGTTTTACTTCAACTCTCATTAGCCTATTAATGTGGAGCTTGGTTCTGCTTGGAATTTATTTTTCCATTTAAAAGCTGATGATTAGCTGAAAGATGGGGATTCTGGTACCCCTGTTTCAGCCTTAGTCATAACCACTGCTAGGGCTCTATCATCCATGCAAATTAAAAGGTAGGAATTATGTCCTTTTTCTCCATAGGTGTGCTCAGGTACAACCAAGCCAACTAATTATCACCGCGACTTAATGTCAGATTTGGCCAAGGGTCTTATACCCACATCGTGGCGTCGCTACTACACAACACCATCGACTCTAACTGTAATCCAGTGGATAAATGACTTTGCGGCACGCATTCGTCAACTGATAGAGATAAGCGAGGCAGCCTCATCTGCAGATCACGGTAACCTGCGCGGTCTGCGGGTCTGGCTGGGCGGACTCTTCATGCCCGAGGCCTACATCACGGCGACGCGGCAGGCTGTGGCCCAGACCCATGGATGGGCTCTTGAAGAGCTCTTCCTAAGCGTGGAA